GTGTAAATTAAAATATCTGCAACTGTATTTGATAATGTTTTGAACATTTTTAAAATATTGTATGGTAAAAACAGAAGCTGCACTTCATATTAGTGACAAACTTTAGCATTTTTGATGGGTTACCTTCATTTTTGCTTCTAGTTTTCAATTAAAATATGTTCCCACTCTTGGCAGGTTTCTAAGGTTCTTCTTCTACATATTAAAACAGTTGTTAAACATCTGAGTGGCGCACTACCGCTACTAGTGGTGACAAAGTGTATTGCACCTTATTCAAAATCAATGCGGCTCCTGGTTAAATAACAGTTAAATAAAAATAAAAGATCTTACATTTTTAGTTCCTTATAGATGAAATAGAAATGCATCACTCTTTGCTTTCAGATACAAGCAGTTCTTTTTTGTGCACTTAGCATCCATTTATTCCTGCTTTTTTTATTATTTATTTCCAGGCAGAAGGAGCGGTATTGCAAAGGGCAAGGGAGGCTCTATGCACATGTACTGTAAACATTTCTACGGAGGAAATGGAATCGTTGGAGCTCAGGTATGTCTGATCCCTTTTTAAGTTGTTTTGAGTCAGATTTGATTATGAACAAATACAGTCTGAATTTAAAAATCTGAAGGTTAACAAATGCTGTTTAGTAAATGTATGAAATTAATGAACCAATAATAAATGTCTACATAACTCTGAGTCTTTTTAAACAAACAAATAAATAAATAAATAAATAATTGTTATGTTTTACTTTTAAAGAATGCTCTGTGACAGTAAATGTGGTGAACAGATCAAATCGATCTTCTGCTCAGGTTCCTCTGGGTGCTGGCGTGGCTCTGGCCTGCAAATATCAGGGCAAGAATGAGTTGTGTGTCTGCCTGTATGGTGAYGGTGCTGCCAACCAGGTATGATGAGCTCACTTTTAACATCTTGTTACACAAACACAGACTGGGATCAAGGGCAGCTTGTTTCAAAAGCAAAGGCAGCAGTCTTTCTTCATTGTGTGATTGTGTAAGCTAAAGTTTACTTTATTACATTTATCTGGCTGACAGTTCAACACAGGTTAGCTTTATATTTCACTGCCACTTTATTAGTTTTATTAATCAAATCCACTTTGTGTGTGCTGCAGGGTCAGATTTTTGAAACCTACAACATGKCGGCTCTTTGGAAGCTGCCGGTGATCTTCATCTGTGAGAACAACAGGTATGGGATGGGCACATCGGTGGAACGAGCTGCAGCCAGCACTGATTACTTCAAGAGAGGAGAATTCATTCCTGGGCTCAGGGTACAGTTTTCACTTCTCTTATCAGAAAAGCTGTGTACTGGGGTTGGGAAATACCGTAATGTCAGCAAATAAACTAAACACTAAACTACAGCCTAACTATAAAATCCAAACACATGAAAAGTTATACTCAGTCCCACTCTCGTCGCCGAACTTCATTCAACTTTCGCGTCTTTTTATTTGCTTTTTCCTGTGGATTTTTTGCCGCTTGTCAAATAATTTCAGGCGTCAGTCAGAAAGGAGTTTATTAGTTTTATGTTTGACTCCAAGGGATTGATTGTAATAATCATTGTAAGCTAAACGCCACAATTAAGTCATTCATTTTTTGCCAATATTGCCCAACCCTAGCGTGCACTTTCACTTACAGCTCACCTTGTGATTTATTCCGTAACTTCACCAGATTATTCTTCCTTCTTGAAGCGCTCATAGGTTTTGGTTGGTTTTTCTGTCCAGGTGGACGGCATGGATGTCCTGTGYGTTCGGGAAGCAACCAGATTTGCAGCTGATCACTGCCGATCCGGGAAGGTTCGTTAAAACTTTTAAGTTTACTCACGTAGCTGTCGTTTTAATTTCTAAACAAAATGTCCTGTTCTTTTATAAGGGCCCGATTCTAATGGAGCTTCAGACGTACCGCTATCACGGCCACAGCATGAGTGACCCTGGCATCAGGTAAATGATTGCGCTACCTCAGCTTGGCATTTGTTCAAGAGTTAATAAACGACTTTTAAATGGCATCCTAAATATAAACTCTACTTTTGTTTTATTAAGGTTTTATCACCAGAATTACTGTAGTTTCCARTATAAAAGTGATCTAATGTCTGTAATCTCTGCCCGTTTTAGCTACCGGACCCGTGAAGAGATCCAGGAGGTCCGCAGCAAGAGTGACCCCATCTCTTTGTTGAAGGACCGCCTCCTCAGCAACAACATGGCCAGTGTGGAGGAACTAAAGGTAGTGAAGTCATGTGAAAACAAAAATATTGCTTATTAATTCTTATGGATGTGTTTTTATTTTTCTTTATAACTCACAAAGCTCTGGGTTTTTAAATTAATCTTTGTAAGATGAGACCACTTTGAGTCACAAAGCACATTATTTGGCTCCTGTGTTTATAACATAAAATGTACATTTT